TCTTTTTGAATTGTCTTTTATTGGGTGTCCCGTTGGTGGAAATAATCGCGAAATCCAGAAATGATAGCTGCTCAATCTCTTCCGCCTCCATTGTACACTTGATGCTTTCGTCAGGTCAGGTTGATTCACATAGCTTTGTGAAATTGTATCAATAAATCCGCTCAAAAGTGAAATTGTTGGTCAAAGCATGGACTTCACTTGTCGCTTCCATACGTTTTAGCTTTCTGCTTAAGCTGTAAATGCCTGCTGACAATGGAGCAACATTTGAAAATGCCCAAATTTCACGGTCCGATGATGGGAAGTATCATCACTACTTCTGCCAGTCGAATACGGAGAAGATGCCCTGACAACAAGACCAAATATCACAAACGAGTTCACAGCACTGCTGTACAACGAAATGATCATTGTACTAGGTTATAAGAAGAGGGAAGAGAAATCTTATTAGTTTTTTATTTTTTGATTCTGTAAGCACCATACCGAGCATAAGGAAATGCCGAAATCTGATGCAGCTGGGCTGATTATCAGCATAACAAGTGTGAAATTAGATGGAACCGAAGACGAATATTGAGTTTCTTCCATTTCCAAAAAAAGTGTGTGATTAAGAGATTCGAAAACTGCATAGATTTGGATTACATATTCAACCAATTTGGATAAGCCTCAATATGATTGCAGGAATGCGAAAATTCTCTGTTGATGTCCGTCATGTGAGAGACAAAACTCGGCAAGTTTACATCAGAATCAGGGGGGGTTGCCTTAGTGACAGCTTTAGCAAGATGGTTTGAGTTAAGCCAAACGCTAGCTGCTATCTTTTGGCAGAAGAGACCTATGAAAATCTCTTCATTATACACTTACACACAAATGTGAAGTGAGCTCAACAATTTTTAAATCAAAATACAATTCACGACCAAACTTTAATTCGTATATATCATTTGGGTTGCTTCTCTTGATAGTGTTTCGATTTCCTACCTATCCTTAAGTCTATCAACCAAGCGTCATTTTCACAATTTAGTCGGGACGACAGGGGACCTAGTCTGAATTTACTAACTCAACGGCTCGATGCAGAGGTTGCGGGACAAGGTAAACTCCATAATGTGTCCATATCGTTCAAAGCAAGTTGCCAAAATTTAGTCAAACCATCACTTTATATTTTCATCTTGGAGTAGAGTTTCGAGACTACCAGTAAATCAGTAGTATGAGATGTATTCACCCAATTTCGTTTAATGCCATGAAAGACTGGTAGTAGAATTTTCCCACAATCATATGAGTTGAGCTGACGTTTCCATTCCATTTCACATTGCCTTGCTTTCCCAAAAGTTGTTCTCATCCCGGCTGGAGTGGACTGCAGTTTTGACCTCGCATCGGTCTTATCAACTCATATCATTGTGGGAAAATTCTACTGCCAGTCCTTCATCACCTTAGACGAAAAAGAGTGAATACATCTTACATCACTTTATAGTCAAGGGAGACTATAAACGAATCGGAGACCGCGCCATTCTGGTCTTCATTTCATTGTTCCACAGTCTATTAATTTTAATGACTCATCGAATTTTGCGCTTTTTAATATTAATCTATATAAGGATAACGGATGAGTAATATACATTATATGCACGTAGATGATATAGAATATTATATTTATTATGTTATATATGTGCTATATACTAATATTATAATATATTATATATATATATATA